CCTCACCGCTGCCCAGAGTGCAGCGCAGGGATGGCCCCGAACCCGTCTGACCCGGGATGCCCCTGTCTCAATCCCCGCACCAAACTCGGGTCCCGAGGTCCCCGCTGGACGCGGCCCCGGCAGAGCGAGGACGGCCCCGGCGCTCAGCGGCAGAGCGGAGCCCGAGGAGCCGAGAGGGGAGCGCCGTGTGCGGGACCGGGGCAGGCCCAGAGGGCGCCCGCTCCCCCCATCAGATGCTGGGTCCCTCCCCAGCTCTGCTCCCGACTCCGCCCGCAGGGGTGCCGGGGTGCTCCCGGACAGCTCGGGGACCCGGACGGCGCTCCCGCCCCCGCACGGCAGGCCCGGGAGGGACCGGAAGGGAGCCGGGTCTGACTTCCATGGCACAGCGTGGACCCCAGTTCCCCCTGCTGTCAGCAACGTGGCTCTGCCGAGGGGTGGGGGACGCGGAGCAGCCCACCGTGACCCCGGCCCGCGGCTGTTGGCGCCCGTTGAAGGGGAAGAGGCCCAGGGCCCGGTGAGCCAGGTCCTGGCAGGGCACAGGCGGCCAGGGCGGGAAACGAAGGGCGGCCGCGAGAGGCCGGCGCGCCCAGCCCAGGTGCTGCTTCCAGACGACACCCCGGTGGCCACCGCCAAGAACATGCCTGGGGACAGCGCGGACCTGTTTGGGGACGGCGCGGCGGAGGACAGCGGCGCGGCCAACGGGCGCCTGTGGCGCACGGTCATCATCGGGGAGCAGGAGCACCCGCATCGACCTGCACATGATCCGGCCGTACATGAAGGTGGTCACGCACGGAGGTGAGGCCCCCCCCGGGGACCGGCGGTCACCCCGGAGGTCAGACCCCCCCCGCAACCCGTGGTCACCCCGGAGGTCAGGACCCCTCCCCCCGGCACCCGTGGTCACCCCGGAAGTGAGGCCCGGGTACCGGCGGTCACCCCGGAGGTCAGACCCCCCCCCGGGGACCGGCGGTCACCCCGGAGGTCAGACCCCCCCCCTGGGTACCGGCGGTTCCATCCCCGGAAGTGAGGCCCCGGGTACCGGCAGTCACCCCGGAGGTCAGGCCCCCCCGCACCCGTGGTCACCCCGGAGGTCAGACCCCTCCCCCCGGCACCCGTGGTCACCCCGGAGGTCAGACCCCCCCCGCACCGTGGTCCACCCCGGAGGTCAGACCCCCCCCCCCGGCACCCGTGGTCACCCGGAAGTGAGGCCCGGGTACCGGCGGTCACCCCGGAGGTCCGACCCCCCCCCGGGGACCGGCGGTCACCCCCGGAGGTCAGACCCCCCCCCTGGGTACCGGCGGTCATCCCCGGAAGTGAGGCCCCGGGTACCGGCAGTCACCCCGGGAGGTCAGGCCCCCCCCCGCACCCGTGGTCACCCCGGAGGTCAGAACCCCTCCCCCCGGCACCCGTGGTCACCCCGGAGGTCAGACCCCCCCCGCACCTGTGGTCACCCCGGAGGTCAGACCCCCCCCCGGCACCCGTGGTCACCCCGGAAGTGAGGCCCGGGTACCGGCGGTCACCCCGGAGGTCAGACCCCCCCACCCGGCACCCGTGGTCACCCCGGAGGTCAGACCCCCCCCACCCGGCACCCGTGGTCACCCCGGAGGTCAGACCCCCCCGCACCCGTGGTCACCCCGGAGGTCAGACAACCCCCGCACCCGTGGTCACCCTGGAAGTGAGGCCTCCGGGTACCCGTGGTCACCTCAGAGGTCGGAGCCCTCCCTCCGTAGCCGTGGTCACCCCGGAAGTGAGGCCCCTCCCCCGGGTACCGGTGCTCACCCACGGAGGTCGGACCCCCCCCCGCACCCGTGGTCACCCACGGAGGTCAGACCCCCCCCGCACCCGTGGTCACCCCGGAAGTGAGGCCTCCGGGTACCCGTGGTCACCTCGGAGGTCGGAGCCCTCCCTCCGTAGCCGTGGTCACCCCGGAAGTGAGGCCCCTCCCCCGGGTACCGGTGCTCACCCATGGAGGTCAGACCCCCCCCCCCGCACCGTGGTCACCCCGGAGGTCAGACCCCCCCGCACCCGTGGTCACCCCGGAAGTGAGGCCTCCGGGTACCCGTGGTCACCTCGGAGGTCGGAGCCCTCCCTCCGTAGCCGTGGTCACCCCGGAAGTGAGGACCCTCCCCGGGTACCGGTGCTCACCCATGGAGGTCAGACCCCCCCCCCCCGCACCCGTGGTCACCCCGGAGGTCGGACGGACCCCCTGCCGGGCCCGGCAGCCCCTCGGTGCCCCGCCGCGGGCGGAGGGTGGAGCCTGCGTGGCTCGGCTCGGCGACGGCCGCCCCCCGCCGCTCTCCGCAGGCTACTACGGCGAGGGCCTCAACGCCATCATCGTGTTCGCCGCCTGCTTCCTCCCCGACAGCAGCTGCGCGGACTACCACTACGTCATGGAGAACCTCTTCCTGTGAGCGGGGGCGGGGCCGGGCGGGGAAGGAGGGGCCGGCATGCGGGGCGGGGCCAGGAAGGCGGGGCCGGCATCGGTGGGGCGGGGCCAGAGCGGCCGGCGGGGCGGGGCCAGGCGGGGAAGGAGGGCCGACATGTGGGGCGGGGCCAGGGAGGCGGGGCCGGGCGCGAGGAAGGAGGGGCCGACGTGTGGGGCGGGGCCAGAGGGACAGGTGGGGCGGGGCCGGGCGCGAGGACACGCTCACCCAGACTCTCCCCTGCTGGCCCCACTCCCGCGGCTGGGCCTTCCCCCTGGACCCCCGGGGCCGCCGCCCCCACACACGTCCATCACCCACACCATCATCACCTTCATCACCGCCGACACTGCGCTGCCACCCTGATCCCCAGCCCACCCCCAAGACCTGCCCGGCGGGGGCCGAGGGGCTGGAACACGGCCCCCTCCCCAGAGCCCGCGCCCCTCCCCAGAGTCCCCGCCCCCTCTCCAGAGCCCCGGATCCTCTCCTCGGAGCCCCCCCACCCCCCCTCAGGACCCCCGCCCCTCCTCAGAAACCCCGCCCCTCCCCAGAGCCCGCGCCCCCTCAGGACCCCCGCCCCTCCGAGCCCCCGCGCCCCCTCCCAGGACCCCCGCCCCTCCTCAGAGCCCACGCCCCCCCTCAGGACCCCCGCCCCTCCCCAGAGCCGCGCCCCCTCCCCAGAGCCCCCGGCCCCCCCTCCGAGCCCCTCCTCAGGACCCCCGCCCCTCCCCAGAGCCGCGCCCCCTCCTCAGGACCCCCGCCCCCTCCCCAGAGCCCCCGCCCCCTCAGGACCCCCGCCCCCTCCCCAGAGCCCCCGCCCCCTCCTCAGGACCCCCGCCCCTCCCCAGAGCCCCCGCCCCCTCAGGACCCCCGCCCCCTCCCCAGAGCCCACGCCCCCCCTCAGGACCCCCGCCCCCTCCCCAGAGCCGCGCCCCCCCTCACTACCCCCGCCCCTCCCCAGAGCCGCGCCCCCTCCTCAGGACCCCCTCCCCTCTCCAGAGTCCCCAGACCCCCCTCAGAGCCCCGCGCCCCTCCCCAGAGCCCCCTCCTCAGGACCCCCGCCCCTCCCCAGGACCCCCGCCCCTCCCCAGAGCCGCGCCCCCTCCTCAGGACCCCCGCCCCTCCCCAGAGTCCCCAGCCCCCCCTCAGAGCCCCGCGCCCCTCCCCAGAGCCCCCTCCTCAGGACCCCCGCCCCTCCTCAGGACCCCCGCCCTCCCCAGGACCCCCGCCCCTCCCCAGAGCCGCGCCCCCTCCCCAGAGCCCCCGCCCCCTCAGGACCCCCGCCCCTCCCCAGGACCCCCGCCCCCTCAGGACCCCCGCCCCCCCTCAGGACCCCCGCCCCTCCCCAGGACCCCCGCCCCTCCCCAGAGCCGCGCCCCCTCCCCAGAGCCCCCGCCCCCTCAGGACCCCCGCCCCTCCCCAGGACCCCCGCCCCCTCAGGACCCCCGCCCCCCCTCAGGACCCCCCGCCCCTCCCCAGGACCCCCGCCCCTCCCCAGAGCCGCGCTCGCCCGAGCGGGACCCGGATCCCGAGGCCCGGGGGAGCCGGCGCGGCCGCCCTGACCCGCCCCGCCGCCCGCGCAGCTACGTCATCAGCAGCCTGGAGCTCCTGGTGGCCGAGGACTACATGATCGTGTACCTGAACGGCGCCACGCCGCGCCGCAGGATGCCGGGCCTCGGCTGGCTCAAGAAGTGCTACCAGATGATCGACAGGAGGTGAGGGCGGCCGCCGGCCCTCAGCAGCCCTTGGCTGGCGGACGCGTCCCCGGCGCCGCCTTCCGCCGCCCACATCCGCCGGAAGTGTGCCCTGGCCCACACGTTCCCCGCGGCGTCCGCGGCCCGGGATCGTTGGTTCCGGGGCCTGCCGAACCGACGCGGCGGCCCCACCCAGCCCCTCCTCCGCTGCGCCCCCGGGCTGGGCGCCCCCACCCCCGTCTGCCTCCAGAACCTGCCCTTCCCGGCCTGAAGCCCTGTCTGCCGGGGAACTCCCCCTGCCCGGCACCCCGCCCCGCCGCCTGTCTCCGGGGCTCTGCGGGGTTTGGGGTCCCGCAGCCGGGTCCCTCCTCTGGGCGAGCCGGCCTCCCGGTCCCGCCACGTTGGGGCAGGCGCCGCGTCCCCTTCCTTGTTCAGGCCGGGTAGTTTGCGCCGCTGTTTGTCCACTCGGCTGCCGGTGGGCAGGGGCGGCTGCCGTCCCTGGGCCGGACACAGAGCAGCTTCACAGTCCAGCTCGTTCCGGCCACCCTAGATGGCGGCGGGGGCCGGGGCCGCGGGGGCCTCAGGGTCACTGGGGCCGCCCAGACCTGGGCCCCCGCTGAACCGCTGCTCCCCTACCCAGCTCGCGTGGGGGTGTTGGCCACTCGAAGGGGTGTGTCCTTGTCCCCCTGAAGACCCTCAGGCCCGGCTGGGGGCGGGGAGGTCAGGGCGGTGACCTGGGCTCTGCCCCCCCCCACTCTCCCAGGAGCCAGGTGACCTGGGCTCTGCCCCCCCCCGGGAGCCAGGTGACCTGGGCTCTGCCCCCCCACTCTCCCGGGAGCCAGATGACCTGGGCTCTGCCCCCCGCCCCCCACCCTCCCGGGAGCCCCCTGGCGTCCTCGCTCCCCCACAGGTTACGGAAGAACCTGAAGTCGCTGATCATTGTGCACCCGTCCTGGTTCATCCGCACGGTGCTGGCCGTCTCCCGCCCCTTCATCAGGTGAGCCTGGGTGCCCGCGCGTCCCAGCTCTGCACGGAGACCCCGTTCTCGCCTGCTGCCGCCTTTTAAAATTCCCTGTGAAAGGCAGAGACGCGGACGGACAGAGGTCCTCCATCCCCTGGTTCCAACCTCCCCCAAATGCCCACCGCGGCCAGGGCTGGGCCAGGCGGGAGCCAGGAGCTCCATCCGGGTCTCCCACGCGGGGGCAGGGGCCCAGGGACTTGGGCCATCGTCCACTGCTCTCCCAGGCCACAGCAGAGCCGGACCGGAAGTGGAGCAGCCGGGACTCGAACCGGCGCCCATGTGGGATGCGGGCGCTGCAGGCGGGGCTTTAAGCCCCTGCGCCACAGCGCTGGCCCGGGGCTGATTCTCACCTCTTAGTGTGGCCCCCGCCCAGCCCGGCTGTTGCAGACATCTGGGAGCGCACAGCGGATAGGAGCTAGTGGGGGGCAGGAGCCAGGCGCCCCCCCCCCAGGCCACACCAGATGGGGCGCGCGGTGCCGGCCAGCCCGGGAGCACCCGCGCCGCGCCAGGCGCCAGCTGGACGCTCCTACTGGCCCTCGGATGACCGGAACATTGGGAGTGAGCGGGCGGGGGCGGGGGCGGGGGCGGACGTGGAGTGGGGGGGCGGCCACGCCCCCAGCGCCGGGCGGACTTCCTCCTGGGCCGAGTCCACAGAGCTGTGGGAGCAGCCGGGGCCCCCAACACAGGGGAGAACCTCCCAGTTCCCCGCCGACCGCAGCGGGGCGCCCTGATTGATCCTCGGGGCCCCCGACCAGGCGGCGGGGACCGGCTGGCCGCCGTCTCCCCGGCCCAGGCCAAGCGCACGGAGCGCCCGGAGCCCGGGATGACCCAGGGCCCGGCTGCTGGTTTTCCAAAGATTCGTTTATTTCTCTGAAAGGCAGAGACAGACGGACAGACAGACAGACCCTTCGTGGTCGCCAAAAAATGTTACCGGAGAAATTGCAGGGTTCTTGTCTTCGCGCAAGAAAGAATTCGGGCATGAGACAGAGAGTAGTGGAAAGCAGAAGTAGCAAGGTTTATTAGGGCAGGGACATCCGCAGGAACGGACGGCGCCTCTCCAGACAGGACCTGAGAGAGGGTGCCCGGTCTACATTTGGGGGGAGGGTTTTCAGGAGATGGGTCTCTGTCTTCACTCGTCTCCTCCTGAAGCAAAGGAGTTTATGGCTATAAATATTAAGCTCCTATCTGAGTTTTCCCCTGAAGGTACCAGACAGGTCGCCGGCGCCATCCTGGGTTCAGAGGGAGGGTGAGCAGGGCCCCTGGAGAATGGGGGTCCGAGCAGGGTGTTTGAGATGCAGATACTGGGCTGCACCTGGGAGACTGTGGGAGATTTGTCAGGCAGGAGGGGCGGGGACCCCAGCTGGCAGGGTATCGGTAGGAGGGGGCAGGGCAGGGTGCGGAGGCTGGGCTGCCCCTGGAGCACTATCGTGATGACTTTGAGATGTAGATGCGGATGCTGGACCCAGTGGCGGCCTTTGTCACACACACACACACACACACACACACACACACGTAAGCTAAATCCTGCCACTCTCTCTCCTTCCACCTCTGCCCCCCACCTGCCAATAGGTAAATAAATAATAAATAAATCGCACAAAATAACGGAGGGGGCGGGCACGGTGGTGCAGCGGGTTGAGCCGCCACCTGGAGCGCCCACATCCCAATCGAGTGGCCGCTTTGAGTCCCGGGTCCAGCTCCCCGCCGGTGCGCCTGGGCCCCCGCCTCCCCCGTGGGGGACCCGGATGGGGCTCCGGGTCCCGGGCTGCGACCTGGCCCAGCCCTGGTCCTCACGGGCCTCTGGGGGAGTGACCGGTGGGTGGAGAAAGGGCCTCTGTCTGCCCCCCCCCCCGTTCCTGTTCTGCATTTTAATAACAATAATAGACGCTAATAATAATAACAACAACAAACTTCAGCCCGAGTGCATAGCCACACAGCCCTGGCCAGGTCTCTGGAGGCACCGGACAGCTGGGAGGGGGGGGCGACAGCAAGGCTGCCCTGGGGCGTGAGTGAGTCAGCAGCCCTGGCCCACAGGAGCACGGCTGCTGCTGCCCCGGGCGGTGACCAGGCGCCCATGACCGCTGCTGCTGCCCCGGGCGGTGACCGGGTGCCCATGACCGCTGCTGCCCTGGGCGGTGACCGGCGCTCATGACCCCTGCTGCCTCGGGCGGTGACCGGCGCCCATGACCGCTGCTGCCTGGGCGGTGACACTGGCGCCCATGACCGCTGCTGCTGACCCGGGCGGTGACCGGGTGCCCGTGACCGCTGCTGCCCCAAGGGCGGTGACCGGCGCCCGTGGCTGGAAGCAGCACTACACGGGGGGTGGGCGGGGAGCCGGGCGTCCTGTGACTGCCCAGCTGTCGCCTTCATCCACGCGACTCGGCAGGGAGCAGCCAGCGGCGGGCGCGCGAGGGTCAGGTCGGGGCTGGAGGCGGGCAGTGGGCGGGGCGGGTGGTCTGGACGCGGGGGCCTCCTGCGTTCCCCGCGTCCCCCGCTGACCGCGCGCGTCCTCCCGCAGCGTCAAGTTCATCAACAAGATCCAGTACGTGCACAGCCTGGAAGACCTGGAGCGGCTCATTCCCTTGCAGCACGTGCAGATCCCGGACTGCGTGCTCCAGTGCGTGACCCCAACCGCTGCGCCCGGACCCCGCGGGGAGGGCGCCGGGGCTCGGCGGGGTCAGCTGCCGCCCGTGCCCGCCCGGGGACGGCGCGGTGAGTGACGGCTTCGGCTTTCTTCCAGGTACGAGGAGGAGCGGCTGAGGGCGCGGAGAGAGAGGTGGGTGCTGAGCGGGGGCTGCGGGCGCCGGGGCGAGGCTGGCCGTGGTCTGGGCGGCCCCGCGGACGGGACCGAGGTCCACCCGCCCCGCGGCGTCAGGGCCTGGCCCAAGCCCGACTCCCAGCTCCCCGGTTTCGTGGCCCGGGGACGTCCAGGCGCAGCCAGTCCCCGGCGCCGTCGAAGCCACGTGCGAATCGGTGTTGGGCCCCCACGTGGCAAAGACTCCCTGCGCATGCGGGCTCCCTGCACGGCCCTGGCTGCCATGCACCTGCCACCGATGGCTGCCGGGATTTCAGGGTTAGCCCAGGCCTACCCAGCCCTTACCCGGTCTCCTGGACACACTCCCATCCCTTCCAGGGAGCTGGGCAGCCGGAGGGTTCCCACCGGGGCCTCAGGGGCACAGGACCCCCGGGCTCAGAGAGGGCGAAGCACCCGCCCAGGGTCACACAGCAAGAGAGGGTGGACGCTAAGCCCCGTGCGCATCAGGGAACGTCCCGCCCACGTCCGCTCTTCCTGCCCATCATGGGCACTGTTTTCCTTGAATCTTACCTCTGGGGGTTACTATGGTCCAAGGCCGGTGCAGCCGTTGGGGGGGGGGGGTGCGCGCGTGCGCGCAGCTCAGGAGCGTTAACCACATCCCCAGCGCTGTGCGGCCCTCGCCGCCGTTGTTCCAGAACCTTCTCCCCTCCCGGGCTGAAGCCCTGTCCCCCGGCGGCTCCGCGGCCTCCAGAGAGCCCCTGGGCGCGAGTCCCGCAGGGTGGCGCCGTGGCCGCCGTGCCCGGATCCCTCCGCGTGGCGCCGGGCGTCAGCATGGCTCCCCTGTTCGGGCCGCGGGGTACCCCGCCGCAAGGTGGCCCGGCGGAGGTGTGCGCTCGCCTGTCCCGGCCCCTGGGGGCCGTGGCTCTGCTGTGGGGGCGGCGCCCCGCGTCTCTGCGGCCCTGCGCTTCCGGCTCCTGGATCCTCCAGTGTCCACTACAGCCAGGACCAGGCCAGGCCGAAGCCGTATTCCCCCTCCCACCGCGGAGGCTCAGCTGTGCGGCCCCAGTGGCTGCAGGAGGCCGCTTGGGGCCCAGAGACACCTGCTTGGCTAAGGCCCCGCCCACCTCCCCGCCCCTCCACCCCACCCTGCGGGCCCCACACCTTGGTGGGGAGGGCAAACCGCCTGCAGCTGTCCCCAGGAGGGAGCGGCCCCCGGCCGGGCCCTCTGCCCCTCAGCGCCCGCTCTCCGTCCGCAGCGCCAGGCCCCAGCCTGAGTTTGTCCTGCCCAGATCCGAAGAGAAGCCGGAGGCAGAGCTGGCGGAGGACAGGTGAGCGAGGGCGCAGGTGACCCGTGGGGGGCGGGTGACAGCAGCAGTGACCGCGGGGTGGTGGGCGAGGCCCCCGCGTGGGGGAGGCGCCCCCGGGACGCCCCCATCTCTGTCTGAGCGCCTGGTTCCAGTCCAGGTCTCTGCTCCTGCGCACCTGGGGGCAGCATTGATGGCCCCCGGTGTCTGGGCCCTGCACCCACCTGGGAGCCCTGGATGGGGCTCTGGGCTCCGGGCTCCGGGCTTCAGCCTGGCCCAGCTCTGGCTGTTGCGTGCATTTGGGGAGTGACCCAGCGGATGGACGACCTCTGTCTCCCCCTCCCTCTACAACTGTAAAGATTTATTTATTTATTCGAAAGGCCGAGTTACAGAGAGGCAGAGTTGGGGGTCCTTCCATCCAGGGGTTCACTCCCCAAATGGCTTCAACGGCCGGAGCTGGGCCAATCAGAAGCCAGGAGCTTCCTCCGGGTCTCCCACGCGGGTGCAGGGGCCCCAGCACCTGGGCCATCGTCCACTGCTCTCCCAGGCCACAGCAGGGCTGGGTGGGGAGAGGAGCAGCCGGGACTGGAGAGGCCCTCCTATCAGGCGGGGGCATCGCAGGCAGAGGCTTAGCCTGCTGTGCACACCACCAGCCCCAAAACTTGGCCTTGAGACTTGAGCTGGTGCCCATTCTGGTGTCCCACGCAGTGGCTTTACCCACTTACATCACTGCGCCAGCCCCTCGAAGCTCATTTTTAAATATCGTATTATTTATAATTACTATTAATTATTTAAGAAGCAGAGAAATCGTTATTTAAATAGAGATCTAGGATTTTTAAAAATTATTTATTTATCTCTTCATTCTGTAAAGCAGAACGAGAGAAAGAAAAAGAGGCCTCCTATCCATTTATTTTTATCTATTTCTTTTCCTTTTGCTGGAAAGGAACACACAGATCTTCCAGGCTGCGGCTCGCTCCCCAAATGCCCACAACGCTCGGGGCTGGGCCAGGCCAAAGCCAGGAACCCAGAACTCCAAGCAGGTCTCCCACACCCACAGGCGTGGCGGGCACCCGGGCTGTGACCGCCGCCTCCCAGGGCGTGCCTTAGCAGGAGGCTGGACTCAGCAGTGGGTCTGTCAGGACTCGAACCCAGGGCACTCCCGCGGGGGATGCGGGCAGCTTCGCCCCAGCCGCGGCGGTGCAGGGCCTCAGCTCTGTCCCGGCAGGTGCACGCGGCCACAGGAGCCACCCCGCCCCTGGCACAGCTCCCAGCCTGGAGCAGCTGGGAGAGGGGGGACGCCAGGGCGCCCGTCCAGGCAGTGATGCCCAGCCCCCTCCCCTCTCCCACAGGTCCGCTGCGGCCACGGACGACCAGGAAACCAGGTGGGTGTGCCACGGGGCGGTCTTGGGGACGAGGGACAGCGCAGCCGGCGGGGCAGGGAGGCACAGGCACGCCGGCAGCCTCTGTGAACAGCTCCGTTCTCGAGGCTGTAACCGCAGCCCACAGACCCGCTGACTTAAAAACCAGAGAGATTTACCGGGCTGGGAGGTGGCGAGGGCACAGGGCGCCTCTGGGGACGGGCTGGGCTGCGGCGTGGGTCACAGCGGAGCCAGCCCCAGGACCTGCCCCGGGCTCCGTGGTCTGTGAGAGGGACCAGGCAGCTCCGCCAGGCTGCGGGACGCTCAGGTCGTGGTGGGTGGCCCCGGGACCACGTGGTCCGACTTCCCCGAGTGACGGTCAGTGACCATGCTGCGATCTTTAACACGGGTGGGTGGGTGTGTGGGTGGATGCGTGGGTGGGTGGGTGGATGGGTGCATGAGTGGGTGGGTGTGTGGGTGCGTGGATGGGTGGATGTGTGGGTGCGTGGGTGGGTGGGTCAAAGCTCTCTCCAGTGTGACAAGGACACGACTCCCCAGGGCCTGCTCTGCTATGAGTGGGACCCCTGCAGCGCCACACCTAGACGGCGAGTGGCAGGTGGCACCCTGGCCGCGGCGAGCTCGTGGGAGCCCACTGGGGTCTCTCGGGACTCCGCCCCTTCCGCGGGGCCTCTCCGCCTCTCGGCGGGCTGAGCACGCGGCCGGTTCCCCCTCCCAGCCTGTCCTGAGGTGGCGAACGTCTGGGGAAGAACGCGAGAGTCCAGAAGCCGAGAAACCTCCGTCCGACCCCAGCCCGGCTGTCCCCCCGCCTCGCCTCGCCTCGCCTCGCCCCGAGTCCCGGTCTCCCCGCGCCGGCCCCGCGCCGGCCCCGCAGCCCGCGTCCTCTGCTCTTGGAAGCTCCTGACCGAAGCAGTATCCGCGCCTTCCGGAAAACCAGCCCGGCTCTCGGCTCCACCCTCCACCGCCCGCAGCTCCGCCCCCGCAGAGCGCGCGCCTCCTCCCGCCCACCCAGCAGAGCGCGCGCCACCTCCCGCCCACCCAGAGGAGCGCGCGCCTCCTCCCGCCCACCCAGCGGAGCACCCACCTCCTCCCGCCCACCCAGCGGAGCGCGCGCCTCCTCCCGCCCACCCAGCGGAGCGCGCGCCTCCTCCCGCCCACCCAGCAGAGCGCGCGCCTCCTCCCGCCCACCCAGAGGAGCGCGCGCCACCTCCCGCTGACCCGGCAGAGCGCGCGCCACCTCCTCCCCACCCAGCAGAGCGCGCGCCACCTCCCGCCCACCCAGCGGAGCGCGCGCCACCTCCCGCCCACCCAGAGGAGCGCGCGCCTCCTCCCGCCCACCCAGAGGAGTGCGCGCCTCCTCCCGCCCACCCAGAGGAGCGCGCGCCACCTCCCGCTGACCCGGCAGAGCGCGCGCCACCTCCTCCCCACCCAGCAGAGCGCGCGCCACCTCCCGCCCACCCAGCGGAGCGCGCGCCACCTCCCGCCCACCCAGAGGAGCGCGCGCCTCCTCCCGCCCACCCAGAGGAGTGCGCGCCTCCTCCCGCCCACCCAGAGGAGCGCGCGCCACCTCCTGCTGACCCGGCAGAGCGCGCGCCACCTCCTCCCCACCCAGCAGAGCGCGCGCCACCTCCCGCCCACCCAGAGGAGCGCGCGCCACCTCCCGCCCACCCAGAGGAGCGCGCGCCTCCTCCCGCCCACCCAGAGGAGCGCGCGCCTCCTCCTCCCCACCCAGCGAGCCCTTGCTGGCCGGCGCGCGGCTCAGGCTCCTGACCCTCTCTCGCCTGGCCCCGTCCCGAGGGGGAGCCGCAGACGCCAGCCAGCGCCGTGGCTCGGTCTGGATTTGTTACTGTGCCTTTTCCTTCCAGACGCCAACCCCGGGGCGCCCTCACCCCCTCCCCGCCTGCAGCCCACAGCCCGGGTGGGCGCTCAGCCCCTGCGACCCCCAACTCCCCTGGCGGCTGTAGAACCACGCCCTCCCCTCAGTCTAGAACATTCTTAAGCCCCTTGACCTTGGATGCCTCCCCAGGGGGAATTCCCGGCCAGCACCTCCTTCCGCCTCCTATGAGCTGGGCCCATGGCCCCGGCCAGCTCCTGATGAGAGCTGGTCATCTGGAGACAGGAGGACACGGGGCAGTGGACACTCTTGGCACTCGGGAAAATTGGTGATCGCCGTGGCCACCTGTGTCCCAGGCCCGGCCCACGAGGCCAGTCTCCCGTGGGAGAAAGACAGACGTTCCCCACGTGGTCTGAGCCCTGTTGAAGCTGTGAGCTGGCGGACCTGGAGCCCTGGGGGAGCAGCCGGTCGGTGCCCGCCGGCAGTGCCCAGCCCCGGTCCCACCAAGCTGAACCGGCATGTTTTCTGGGCCCTCCTTCCGCCTCTGACGCTAGTTCTTAGCAGAGCCCGGAGAGGGTGGGCCAGTAGCCCTAGGTGCCTGCGATGGTGGGGGGAAGGCTTGCAGAGGGAGCCGGGGTGCCCAGCGCCGAGTCAGGCTAGCGGGCCGGCGCCAAATGCCAGCAGCCACAGCCGGAGCCCTGCAGTGCCCACCATGGGGGTGGGGCCAGGCTGGGCCGAGGACACTTCTGCCTTCCACGTCGTCCAGGAGAGGCTGGGACACGTAGGGGCCTGATGGGTTGTTGGGTGGGGGGGTCTTCAATTTGTGTTTGCTGAGGATGAGGGCAGGGGTCGTGTCCAGGGCTGGATGTGTCCGCTGGGGCCTGAGGCAGCAGGAGGTGGCCACAAGACTCCCAGGGCTGTCCCCGAGGCCCCGTCCCCTGGGAGCGCCCTGCCCCCACTCTGCTCCCTAAGTGGACGTGCCCGGAGCTGCAGCTGTGGTGGCCCGGCCCGTCTGGGGTCCCCACGCAGCCCGGAAGACTCCGAGGGGCTGTCCCACCCCCACCTCCAGCGGAGGAGTGTCCACCCAAGCCAGCCCGTGGGACAGAAGCGGCCACGTGTGCCCCCCAACTGTGACAGCGGCCATCGGGTCTCCCTGGCGCGTGGGGAACCAGCAGGCAGGCCATCCAGTGCCTACGCCGACACCGCGGCGACCCAAAGTCTCCTCGTCGCCCACAAGAGCTGCCACGGGCACCCCCGTGTGACGCCCCTTCCAGGTCACCAGCAGCCACGGGGAAGATGGAGGCCCCGGGGCCAGCCGCTGCCACAGAGGGGAGAAGCCCGCGCAGGTCAGCCCACGCAGGGCCGGCCGCCACGTGCGCTGCCCAAGGCCTGGGTTCCTGACCAGTCTGGGCCCAAATGCAACGGACCCGGAGCCCGGTCACTGTCCGGCGGGGCTGCAGCCTCCGGCTGTCAACAGGGACTCGTTCCCCAACACCCCCTCCCCCGCCGCCGCGGGGACTCCTGGCCCCCACGCCCCTCCGCCCGACGACAAGGACGAAGACGGGGCCGAGTTCTGCGGAGCTGGGTCCTGGGGAGACCTGCGCCCGTGAGCTGGGGAGGGGTTGACATGGACACAGTAAAGCACGCGCCGGTACCGTCTTCCTCCGCGTGGTCTTGTCCCAGGGCCGGGGGCTCGGGCGTGGCGTGGACGCAGAGCCGTGTCCATTCACTCATCCAAAGGAATAAATTGAGGGGTGGGCGCTTGGCATGGGAGGCGCCTGCGTCGCGGGCTGAATCGCCGCTCCACTCCCGACTCCGGCTCCCTGCGCAGAGCCTGGGGGCCGGCGGACGGCATCGGGGGCTGGGGAGGCCGGGCTGCGCACCTGCAGGATGGGAGGGGTGCTGCCGCCACCCCCACCTGGTCCACCCCACCCCTGGGGGCCAAACGCTTCAGCCTGCACCAACCCGAACAGTAGCAGCTGAGCCCCGCCCCCCAGCGGGAGTCCCGTGTTACCCAGGAGACAGGCCCAGCGAGGTGACGCCCCCGCCCCCAGCACACAGACAGGGAGTGAGACCCCCGCAGCCTGCCCCTGAGCCACCCCTCCCACAGCCGGGGACCCTCAGCCCTCGGCCATCTGCCTGGATTCAGACTGCCAGGCGGGGGGCCAACGGGACCGCCGCAACCCCTCCCCCACGACTCTGGGACACCAAGGCGGGAGTCGGCCGTTTCTGCCCACGTCATTGCCCGTGGGTGGCCGGGATGCACCCTCTGTGCCGCCCCCTCCTCCCCTCCTCCGTGAGGTCAGCAAGGCCAGGTGGACTCGCGGGGCTGGGAGGGGTGGGGGCCCCACCAAGGGCCTGGTGACCCTGGACGTGGCTTCAACACCTCCCTCTCCCTCCCTCATCCGCTCATTCGTGGGTCCTCTCACTGATGGGTGGTGCGGTGGGGGTCCAGCCCCTCACCCTGCGCCAGGCCTAAGGGGGGGGGGGGCTCAGCCTAAAACTCTCCGTCCCAGAAGCAGTGACCCCGCCCCGATGGCCCATGCACGCGTCCCCTTCCTGTCTCTGGACTCGCCTGTCCTTCCTCTCGGCTGACCCTGGGGGCGTCCTGCCCAGCCCCCCTCTGGGACCCTCACAGCGGCCTCCGGCCGAGGAGGAGCCCACGGGAGCCTGGACGCTCCAGCCACTGAAACTCGGCCAGAGGTGCCAGCCGGCAGCTGGGCGCCCGCTGGGCAGCGAGGTGACGGCGCGGTCACGGCGCCGGCCCCGGCCTCACTGCCAAGGGCGGTCACTTCTCCTTCTGCCCCTGGTGCCCTCCCCCAGGGGCCCCTCAGCACCACGTCCCTCCTGCCTGGGCCACTCCACGATTTCATTTCTTTCTTTATCTGAAAGGCAGAGTGACAGAGGCACAGAGATCGTCCCTCGGCCGGGTCACTCCCCAAATGCCCCCATCCGCCAGGGCTGGGCCAGGCTGAAGCCGGAGCCAGGGCCTCCATCCGGGTCTCCCACGTGGCCGGCAGGGGCCCAAGCGCTTGAGCCCTCCCCTGCCGCCTCCCAGGGCGCGCATGCGCAGGGAGCTGTGGGGGGGGGGCTGCAGGAGGCAGAGCCAGACACAGACGCGGGCAGCCGCGTCTTAACCCCTACAATGCTGAGTCCGTTTGAAAGACGGAGGAGGGCTCTGAGCTCCGCTGTTGTGTTCTGGGGGATTCTGGGGGAACCCCGGTTCTGGGCCCCCAGCTGGGCCACTCGGCGGGCGCAGGAGGCGGCTGCAGCCCCAGCCGGGAGACGCCAAGATCCTGGGCCCGACGGTCCTCGCCCTTGGCAAGTCCCCGGGGGCCACGCACCCAGCAGGAATCCCACCCACTCCGCTCCTCACCAAATTCCCCCTCCGCCCCGCCCCCGGGGTGCTGCATCACCCCCAACTGCCCTCAGCAAGACCCGCGGGACCCCTGAGCGTCTCCCTGGGGGCCCCAACAGCTGCGGGGAGTGCTGTTCAGGCTTCGTTCCACCCTCCCTCGGCCACCCCCTGGGGGCCGGAAGTGTCCCTGCTGAGCCCGGCTGGGGTGGGGGGCGGGAGGCCAAGTTCCCTCCCCCGGCGGGCAGGCTGCCTTCAATTCAGGGTCAGGCCGGGAACACACGGGGCAGAGGTATTTTTAGGGCTCTCTGGCCAGGAGCCCCGAGGAGAGACGGGGAGGGGGAGCCGGGCAGGGGCGACCCCCACCCCCACCCGGGCCTCCCGGCTGGCCCGTGACTGATCTGGGCGAAAGGCAGCCGAGCTATTTCCGTCCGGCGGCGACAGGTGCACGCTGCGCGCGCCTCCCCCCCCTTCACCCCCGGGGGGCCCTCGGAGCCTATAAAGCCGCGGGGTTTTCTCAATGAAGCCGGGACGCGCCCGGAGCGCACTGCGGGGTCGCGCCCAGCTGGGCCGCCTGGGAGTCACCCGCTGTCCCCGCCGCCCCTCCGTGAGAGAATGAAACTCGTCGTGGGCATCGGAGGGTGAGCGGGCGGGGGCCTGGGGAGGGGGCCCTGTGGGAGTGCGCAGAGCGCCGCCCCCTGCCCCGCAGCCCCCGGGGTGGGGGAGCGCGGGCTGCCTCCCGCTGTGACAGCCAGGCCGGAACCCCTACATCAGGGTGCTGGGACAGACCCCACTAAGGTGCTGGGCACAGCCATGGGGCCGGGGCTCCCCCAGGACACAAACTGCCCCCTTTAGCACTGAGACACAGGTGGGTGTGCGCAGTATCTGGCCCTTGTCCCCCTGATGGACCAGGGACCCTGTGCTTTCCGGGGTGGGGGGCAGCCTTCCCAGCACGGGTGCTGTCTACCTGGCCCGCCCAGGGGCGCTCGGAGGCCTTGTCCCACGGCCACTGGGACGGCCATCCCTGCGGCTAAAGCTCAGAGGGCGGTGAGTGGGTCAGCCAGAGACTCCAAGAGGCCGCCTGGTGCCCTCTGTCACCGGGCGTCCTGGCTGTCCCGGGCCGGTTCCCCGGGCGCCCGCCGCGTGGCCGCCGCCTTGGCCTCCATCTGTGTTTCCCTTCTCTGCCACACAGCCGGTTGCACCGCGACACCTGCGTGTCGGTGGAACATGACCTTAACACATCACTTTGTCTTGGTGCAGAAAACCATTGCCATCTCCCGGAAGCTCCGGGGACAGCGGGCGCCGGGAGAAACCCGGGCGTGGGTGGGCCTCCCCAGAATTTCACGCCCCAACCAGGGCAAGGCCTCCCTGGGCAGGCTGGGGACCGATTGCTACTTTGTTACAAATCTGTCTCCACATTTGGCTCTTACCAAAAAAAAAATATATATAATAATAGTATATATATAGGAAGTCACCGACGGGCGTGCGCGGGGCGGTGCGCGGGTGGAGGGGACCCCCGCCGGCCTCACCCGCGCCCCTTCCGCAGCGTGACCAACGGCGGCAAGACCACGCTGACCCAAAACCTCCGCAAGGCGCTGCCCAACTGCTGCGTGATCCACCAGGACGACTTCTACAAGGTGGCCGCCCCCGGCCGGGCTGGAGGAGGGGCAGGCAGCGGCTTCCACCCCCCCTGCCTGCCAGACCAGGACACCCCCACCCCCACAACCTCCACTGGCCCAGGGGCTACATGGGCTTCCTCGCTGCTTCGTGCGGGGGGGGCGAGGCGTGAGGGCCCCCGCAGAGCCGCTTCCCCTCCCCCACTCGAGGTGGGGGTGGGGCACGCGCTGAGCCCCGCTCGCCTCTGTTTCAGCCCCAAGACCAAATAGCCATTGGCCAGGACGGCTTCAAGCAGTGGGATGGTAAGGACGAGGCCCCGCCCCTCCAAGGCCCCGCCCCTCCAAGGCCCCGCCCCCGCACCACGCCCCCTTCTCCTTCCCCCCAGTGCTGGAGTCCCTGGACATGGAGGCCATGCTGAGCACCGTGCAGGCCTGGCTGGGCTGCCCGCAGAAGTTCGCCCGCGCGCACGGGGTCAGCGTCCAGCCCGACGCCGCGGACACCCACATCCTTCTGCTCGAGGGGTTCCTGCTTTACAGCTACAAGTGAGCCTTGGCCGCGGGTGCGCCCGGGGGCCCTTCCAGAACCCCGCCCGGGCCGCTGCGCTGCGGCCCCGGGCCGGACAGCGGCCCCTCTGTGCACGGCCGCGCGGGGGCGGCGGGCTGACCGTGCGCCCCCGGCCCCGCCAGGCCCCTGGTGGACTTGTTCAGCTGCCGCTACTTCCTGACCGTCCCCTACGAGGAGTGCAAGCGGAGGCGAAGGTGGGCGGCTCCCGAGGGCGCGTCCCGGGGGGCATCAGCCGTGAACCCCAAACCGGAACAGGCCCGCGGGACCCGGGGCCGCGCCCCAGAGGCGCCCACGCCCTGCCCCAGGGGGTCAAAGTGCGGGAAGCGGGGGTGGGGGGCGGTGCCCCCGGCCCACCCCTGGGGTAGCGCTCATCTCCCTGTAGCACCCGGAGCTACGCGGTCCCCGACCCGCCCGGCCTCTTCGACGGCCACGTGTGGCCCATGTACCAGAAGTACAAGCGGGAGATGGAGGCGGAGGGCGTGGAAGTGGGTGAGTGTGGGCGGGGGCCCCCGCCGAGGGCGGCGCCGGCCCCCGCGGCCGTGACCCTGACCCCCCTGGTTCCAGTGTACCTGGACGGCACGCAGTCCCGGGAGGCGCTCTGCCGGCAGGTGCTAGAGGGCATCCGGAACTCGCTGCTGAACCGGGCCGAACCGGGCCGAGCCGGGCCGCAGGGCCCCGACGCCAGCCCCGCCGGACCCGGTGTGAGCGCGTGCCCGCGGGGGGGCGGCCGTGCCGCGCAATTAAAGCCGGCCCTGTTTTTATAACCCTCCGCGTGTGGCGTGTTCTGTCCCCTCTGCTCGCTCCTTGTGGCCCCTGCTGCCGCGTCCCCCGTGGGGGGCTGCTTCGGGGGTCTCCCCAGACAGGACATCTCCGGAGAGGCCTCGGCCTGCAGCCGGGGAGTTGGAGCCGGACCTGGGCGGGCCCTGGGCTCGCTGGAGCGCGTGCCTGCGCCTTGCACCTGTTCAGGGCTGTCTACTGCCCCGAGGCGTGGCGTGGCGTGGCGTGGCGGGCCGGCACTGCGCCTGTCCACTCTCCTCCCCTCCGCAGGGCCCACCTTCTGCCTAGTGGCGGTCACTGCGATGAACTGGTCTTTTGTTAGTACAAATATTTATTATTTATTCGAAAGGCAGAATGAGGGTGAGAGAGGGCAAGACAGGCAGAGAGAGAGAGAGAGAGAGAGAGAGAGGCCTTCCGTCAGCTGGGTCACTCCCCAGATGGCCGCAACTGCCCAGGCTGGGCCAGGCCAAAGCCAGGAGCTCCATCCGGGTCTCCCAGGTGGGTGCAGGGCCACGAGCACCTGGGCCGTCCTCCGCTGCCTCCCCAGGCCACAGCAGGGAGCTGGATCGGAAGTGGAGCAGCCAGGACTGGAACCGGCTCCCATAGGGGATCCACGCACAAGGCTGGCCCCGCTGTGGACTCTTTTGCATGCCTGTTTTTCTGTGTCCCTGTTCTCCGTGACGGAAGCTGATGTGACCTCCATAAGGACATCTGGAAGCTTCCCTTGCCCTTAAAATGCCCATAAAGCGCACAGCCCCTGGGTGGAAGCCGAGCCCAGCCCCTCGCCCTGAGCCCATCCAGGACCTGCCCGAGCTGTGTTACTGAGAGACCCATTTCCTGGGGTGGGGTGGGGGGTGCTGAGGCTGAGCCGCTTGGTGGAGCTGGGATTCGAACCAAGGTCTCCCCATACTGCCTTCTTTTTGCCCAGAGTGAGAGACCCCAGGCTACGGTACCAGGGGTTAGGGTGACACCCCGTGGCCGGATGTAGAATTGCAGGCATCGGCCCTTGCACCCGCAGAAGGGGGGGAAAATCCAGGCAGGCAGGCAGGCTGGGGGGAAGCCAGAGAACATCTGGAAGTTTTGGGGGGACTGGGAAAACTGCCATATGACCCAGAAGTTCCCTCCTAGGAGCGTGCCCGAAAGAGCTGGCTTTGGGTGTGCAAACCAAACCCCCACGGGAATGTTCTCCTCCCAGGGGTGGCGGGGACTCTGCTGCCTTCCCAGGCCATCGGCAGAGCGCGGGGTCGGAAGGGAGCAGCCGGGACTCGAACCGGTGCCCTGTGGGACTCATGAGCGCTTCCAGCCAGGCCCAGCCCCGGCCGTTGCAGCTATCTGGGGAGTGGACCAGCAGATAGAAGACCTCCTTCTCGCCGTTTTGACCCGGGCCAGAAGCTGTTATAGGGGGTCGAGCCCCTGCCTGCGAGCCCAGCTTCCCTCATGGGCGCCGGTTCGAGTCCCGGCTGCTCCACTTCTGATCCAGCTCCCTGCTGATGCGCCCAGAAGAGTGACGACGGCTCCAGAACCTGGGATGGAGCTCCTGCCTCAGCCTGGCACAGCCCTGGCTGCTGCAGCATTCGGGGTTGGAATCCCCCCCCCTCCCTCTCCCTCCCTCCCTCCCTCTCTCTCTCTCCCCCTCTCTCCCTCTTCCTCCTTCTCTGGATCACTCTGCCTTTCACATGAATAAAATACACATTAATTTTTAAAAAGAGAGAAGAGTTTCTTTCTTTTTTTTTTTTTCTTGGCCGAGGGAGAATTTAATTTCTGACACTTGCATGTTACGAATTCAAATGTCAGAAGCTATATATAAAGTTTTATTGGCGCAGGGCCACAGCCCTGGGGACACGCGGCTCCTCCGGTCAGCCAAGGCTCCGAGCCCCCCGCCCTGAATGGCCAAGCCTTGCCCTGGGGGCAGGCCCGGCGCTGGGGGCCCTGGCTGCCGGCCACCGGGCCCAGAATAGACCAGGATGGGACAGGGTCGCCGGAGGCCGGGGCTGCCTGGTCATTGTCATTGAAAGGATGAGCACTGCGGGCGCCCAGCCTGCGACAGGGAGATGGGAGCCGGGCCAGCCCGGGGCTTCCTCGAAGGCCGCCCGCGGAGGCAGAGGGACCCGGTGCCCCGCGCCCGCCACGGCCGTGGCCCCGCCACACCGGGGGAGCCACGAAGAAGGAAGCGCGCCGCGCGGGCAGAAGTGGCGTGGGGGTGCGGGGCTGGGGGGGGTGTTTCCCGGGGACGGAGCGTCCGGCTGGGAAGGTTGGATGGCGGCCGCGGCTGCCCGCCCTGGGAGCTGTGTCTCTCCGCGGGAGCAATGGCCCGGTCCCTCCTGCCTTTCCCAGACCCGTCCTGGTTCTATCCGGGAAGCCCCCAGCCCCGGAACACAGCCCCGGCCAATGCCGGACCCCGCGGCCCTCCAGCCCCTCCCCCAATCCAGCCCCACAGAGCCCGGGGATGGCCTGGGGGCTCTACCCTGTGCCCGGCCCTCTCCCTGCCCCGGCCAGGGCCAGCGCGGGTGGCAGGTGCTCCCGCCTACCCCAGGCCCCTCTGCGGCCTGGCTGACCTACTCGTTGCCATGGCGACGGGCCCTGCACCTGCCAGCCGGCCTGCCCCGGGGGAAGCTGAGTCCGTGGTCCGAGGCCCCCAGCTAAGGAGACCGGGAGGCCGGGCCGTGTCCGCGGGTCACCTCTGGGCTCCCGGGACCCTCAGCAGAGCCAGCTGCAGCCCCCGCCCCCCACCCTGAGTGGGGATTTCTGATGCGTGAGTGACCACAACCCCCGGAACTACTGAAGCCAGAAATGCTGGCTCCCCAGCCCAGAAACCCTCCCCAGGGACGCCCAGGGCCAGGATTCCAGCCTTCCAGAACCTTCGAAGCCGAGAACCGGCCCCTCAGCGCCTCTCACCCCAGGCCGGGCCCCTGCCCCAGGGGGACCTCGGTGGCTGTCACTGCATGGAGTGCTGGGGGCCCAGGACGCGCCCGTGGGCACAGAGCCCAGGGCAGGTAGCCGCTCCTACTCGCCCCGGGGCTCAAGGGGCTGGGCATGGGACATGGGTGCAGACCAGGCCCCCAGCCCCGCCCCCCCCACAAGCTGCCCCCCCCCGCCCTGCCACGAGCCCCTGTCCCGTGGCTGACACCTCCCTGGGCCAAGCCCTGCCCTGCCCGACCCCCGGGGAACCTGCAGAAGTCAGCCTCGCTGGGGGCCCTGCGGTCACACCTGGGGGCGGGGCAGTGCCCTGGGCTGCGGCTCCGGCCAGGCACAGCCACCCCCTCCCAAGAAGGAACCGTGCCCTTGGCCAAAGAGGGGAGAAAGAGCAGGCAGCCCCTCCCCCACCCGGTCTATTTCAGGACCCCACCCCCACCCCCACGCATCTGTCTCCCACATCAGGTATCACTCAGCCGCCCGGGGCTGGGGGCCAGGCTGCAGGGGGACGTCGGAGAGGGCGGCTGTGGGCCTCAGACCCCGCCATGGGTCCCCCGACTCCACCAGGTGCAGTGTGTGGGGGGTGCCAAGAGTTGGGGTCTCCTCTCGGTCCTGGGCGGACATGAGGCCCCCCGGCCCCTCCAAGGTGAGGGAGGGGTGGGGGGTGGCTCCTGGGGCTGGGAGGTGACAGCTCCGGGCGGGGTCGGGGAGGTGGAGGGACTCACAGGATATAAATAAACCCGCAGAGGTCTGGGGGCCGCGGGGGGGGGCAGGGCGGGGCCCCCACCTCAGTCCTCCCTGCCCAACCCCCGCTCCCCCACCGCAAAGCACGCATGCACGCCTGGGGTCTGTGGCTTCTCCCTGGCTAAGCAGAGGGGAAGTCAGGCCCGGCCCCCCGCCCCGCGCCCCTCCCCGGCTCCCCCTGGCGGGGAGGGGCTGGCGGGCCTCTGTCGGGGGGTGGGGGTCTGGCTGGGCCACTTGTGTGTGTCTCACGTGTGGGCCCCGGGGCGGGGGCAGCCGCGTGGTTTGGGTACTTACTGTTCTTTTTGTCTCACAACAGGGGCTGGAGGAGCCGCTCCGGCCGCCCCCGCCGCATTTATAGCGCCCGCAGCCTGGTTATTAATAGCGCCCGCCACGGCTTGCCCTTGTACGGGCAGCACCGGGCCGCCGCGCCCGCGCCCGGCTCCGCCCTCTCCTGCACCTGCTCCTGGCCCGGCCCGGCCCGGGCCGCGCGCGCACAGGGCGCCCCAGGACCGAGAAGGGCGCGGTGATGGCGCCCCCTGGCGACGAGGGGGAGACTCGCAGGACACCCGGCGCCCCAGCCCCAGTGCCCGGTCCCGGGAGGCAGCAGGAACTGGGGTCCCTGCCCCCAACCTGGGTGACCTGGGCTGGGTTCCAAGTCCAGATCCGAGCCTCGGCCTAAGGCGTAAAACGAAGGCCCCCACGGGACAAGGCCTCACCTGGGGCCGGGTGTGGCTCTAAGACCCCCACCACCACCACCAGCGCCGTGGGTGGCCAGCGGGGGCCCCTGGCCCGGGCCGTGGGCTGCTGTCCGGCTCCGTCCTTGCCGCCTGGGGGAAGCGGTGGAAAGGCCGGCGGCGCCGCGGAGCGCCCTCCCTGCCCGGCCTGGGTGCTGGGTTCCGGGTCGTTCCACGCCTACCTGCTGCGCTGGGCTTGGCTGAGGTCCCGGGCCCGGGCTCAGCCGCCGCATCCGCGGGAGGAAGCGGAGGGTCGGAGGGGAGGGGCTTCCGGAGCCCAGCTGGCCTTGTTCTAAGATTTTATTTTTAATTACTTAATTGAAAGGCAGCATGAGAGCGAGCGAGCGCGCGAGCATCCGCTGGGTCACTCCCCAAATGGCCGCAACGGCCAGAGCTGAGCTGATCCGGAGCCAGGAGCTCCATCCGGGTCTCCCACGTGGGTGCAGGAGCCCAAGGACTTGGGCCATCGTCCACTGCTCTCCCAGGACACAGCCGGGAGCTGGACTGGAAGTGGAGCAGCCGGGACTCGAACCGGCGCCTGTATGGGACGCCGGCACTGCAGGTAGCGGCTCCACCGGCTACGCCTCAGCGCCGGCCCTGGGCCTCCTTCCACTGGGCAGTCCCAGGCGGCCAGTGTATCCCCAAGGGGACGGCACAAACCCCACAGGGCGCGCCCGGCAGGCCCTGCCACATGGGCCCACGCTGAGTCCCTGGTGATGGAGGTCAGGGGTCAGAGGGGCCCCCCAAGGAGAGCAGAGGGAACGCGGACGCCCAGCGCCACCCCGGGGCTCGGCCACACAGGGCCCCGCGACCACGAGGCCTGCAGGACGCGGAATTATCCGTCCGGGCCCAGTCCCCAGCGGCTGCTCTGTCCACACCGGGTCCAGCCGCCGCCCGGCCCTCCGGCGCCCCCTAGTGGCCGTGCCCTCCAGGAGGTCCAGCTGTGCCTTGGGCGGTGGCCGTGACCCCCGCCTTCCCGCGCCAGCAGGGCTGGAGGGGCCGCCTCAGCACGGAGGCCTGGGCGGGCTCGGGCCTCGGAGTCCCTCACCGCGCGTCTGGCTTGGCCCGGGCGCCGGGTTTCTCGGCGGCTGTGAGCTCCTTCAGCTGGCAGCCATCACCGCCCCAAATGGAAGCCCCGCCCCGTGGACACCGCCCCCTCCCCGCCCCACCGCCTGGCGACCACCAATCCCCTCCCTGTCCGTGTTGGTGGGGCCCAGCAGGTGTGGCCTTTGTGGCCCCCCGTGCGGGGCTGCTCCGCGCTGCGCAGGTCCCACGCCGTCGCCTCCCCACGAGGCTGTGTGAGCGCCGTCCGCGCCCCAATCCGTCCCGGGGGCCCCGTCCGCGCCCCCACCCACCCCCAGGGGCCGCCCCTGCCAGGCCGAGCCACAGACGGAGCCGGCAGAGTCGGGTTTTATTTCTCCGAGCTTGACAGGAACATGGCGTGGACATGCACACGGGCACGGCGGGACTCGTGGGGGGCACACGGCGGGGACCCCAGCCCGGGTCTGCGCCCCCCGCCCACCCGGCCCTGCCCTCAGGCGGAGGGCGGCACCTGGCGGCGGCGGGCGGTACTGCGTGGCCCCAGCTACGGGCCCCGGGGCCCCTGGACCCCTGCCTCCTCCCAGCGATGGGACCCGGGCTTCCGCTGCGGCGCCCTGGGGGGACGTGTCCACGCGGCCCCGAGCACGGACAGGCCCAGGAGCAGCACCGCGGACGTCACTGGGGACGGGCAGGGGCCGTGGCCACTGCCACCGCGCGACGGGCGGCACCTGCCCTCCTCCCAGGGCCGTGGGAGGCCCGACTGCTCGCGAGCTCCCCAAGAAGGCAGCCCCCGCCCCGCCGGAGCCGCGAGGAGGGGGGCCCCGGCGCGCAGCCCGGCGCACAGCTAGCGCAGGCCGCACTCCCCCGCCTGCCGCTTCTCCTGCTCCAGCGCGCGCACCAGGTCCTGCACGAAGCGCACCTCGGCCGCCACCTGCTCGGCCAGCGCCTCGTAGCGGTTCTCCAGGCGGCTGAAGCGGCGCCGCAGCCCGCTGGCCCCCAGCAGCGCGCCCCGCGCCTCCTCCTGGGCCTGGCGCTGCAGCGCCGCCGTCGTGTGCAGCTCCTGGCGCAGGCGCCGCAGGTCCTGGCCCAGGCTCGCGTGCTCCTCGCGGTACCAGGCCTCCTTCTCCTCGTAGATGGCGCGCAGCGCGTCCACGTCGTCGTGGCACAGGCGCCGGCCGCGCGCCAGCTCGCGCAGGCCCTCCTCGGCCGCCGCCACCTCCTCCAGCA